TTAATTGTCCCAGTTAGCAAGATGTTGTTGCGCAAAGCTGAAACCGACGGTCTTAAGGTGAAAACAGGTTGATTATCGTTTGAGAGCTCACATTTCTCCTTTATTATTCACGAGGATTTCAAGTATTTTGTATGGCGGCAAAAACCAAACTACGCATGGAGACGATAGGGCTAATTGTCTTGTACGCATGCGCGCGAAGATGGAGTCAGATCAGATTGAGGTCTTCCTGTACTTGTGATATTCTGTTAACTACTGAGATTGATAACGATTAGAATTGAGAAAAAGTCATCAGAAACGTCATTCACTAGCAAAAAAGATAGAAGACATCGGTGATGCACATTTAAATGTTAACTATCAGAGACAAAAATAATTAACTAAATTGGTTATTCATGGTAGCTTTTAGAGTTCGTTTCAGAAATGTAATCTGGTCACTGTTAGACAAACTGACGCATTCCAAATAAATGCTGCTTTTGTACTGAAACCGTCGCATAAGATTATTGTCTATCTTCATAATGAATTTGGTGAAAGGGTTTGCTAGGTTTTCATTATAGGTTGTAACGACAACTCMGGATACAGGAAATTGGACGTAAGAATACCAAGCAAACTAGAAAACGGGCAATTCTCGCCTCGTGTCTGAACGTGTTTTTTAATCCCATTTTCTGTTTTTATCTTGGCTGGCTAACGCCTGTAAAAGTGTGATCGTGGTACTAACAAGGACTGTCGGCTTACTTTGTCCAACCGCAAGCACAAAGCTTCCCATGGACAATACTATGCTAACAAAGGTAACAAAAAGAAGCATAAGTCGCTAAAGCTTAAAAGCCTTCTCCCATTTCTCAGTTGAATCGGAAAAGAAGAGCGAACAAGAAAAGACGACCGCAGCCCCAGAACGCCCAAACTCTATTGTCACTGACAAGGCCACACAATCATGTTAATTCAGTTGAGGATTCTGAGATAAGGTTAGAGAATGATAATGATAATGAAAAAAACTCAAAACCTATTACAAACTTTATCTTTCGAGATCTTGTGAGCCTCTAATTTTTTGATGTGATGTCAGTTTAACAAATTCATCTTCGATATTGAATTATGGCAGCTAGTACTGCTTTAAAACCAATAGAAGATGCTCACTCCATCCCATTTACATTTGAGGGATTTTGTGAGATAAAGATATATACTGTTTATTTAACTTAGTACTCTTTTGTTTCTCATTATGCACTGAAACTAAGTCGGGATGTGATTGCATAAGCCATATTAGTAAATGCTTTACGCATTAATCCCGGTAAAATCTTGAGAGACGCGCATTTTTACTTGGAAAAGATCTAAGCCTTTTGATTGAATTTAGTGTTATTTGACTGCGCAGGGACTAGCTTTGAAAGYGGTCAAGTATGAATGAGTAAATAACTAAGCGAAAATGTCTGTCCGAGATACGATCTTTTCATTAGGCCAGTGTTTGGACGAGTTCCGCACAGAAGTGAATAAATATTAAGATTCAACATGTTTTTATCGTTTAAGACTCTTTTGTCCAATTACCTCCGGTCCATAATTGTGTGCAACGTTCATAATTCATTTCCCTATCTTAGAAATTGAATTTTTTATTTATAATACTTTTGAATGAAATACGACAAAATTAGTTCAGTCTCTGCTTGGATTTAGTGTGCTTTTTGAAACTGAATGATTGTTCATGAATAGAACTGCGCCGCTCAAGAATCATTAGGCGAAATATCTACCACCATATGTCTTGTTAACGTGGGCATATTCCGCACAAGTGAGGCAAGTTCTAGACCAACTTGGACTGGCCTATACCTTTGAAAAGGTCAAGCTATTAGCTCTTCCACGATTCATCGTTTGAATTTGTGCATGTAAGTAATATTGCCGTTTGTCTATTCTAGGAAGTAGGAAGGTTGGCCTGCATGGATGTCATGACGGAAGTTTCCTTCAACTCGTAAACATTTCAATCATGAAATTAGCTCCAATCTTCAATTTATTTTTTATTCAGTTGTTGAGATTTTTCCGAAATAGTTTTATTCTTGTGGGTTTTTAGATTCTTCACCTTGAAGCATGACGTTAAAAATTCAATTTGTTCTCGTTAATTGAAAATATAAACGAAAAAATTAAATAAATAAATAAAAGATTCGCTATTAATATTGCCCTCCAGATCGCCCCAGGGTCGAGAACGAAAACTAGATTTATCTAAGCAATTTCTTTTAATTTCTCATTCAAATAATAAAAGTGACACTCAAGCTCAATACAGCTTTTTCTTCTCTCTATTGACCTGCTAAATTGAGGTTACCATTTGAGATTTCAGTTTGACCCAAAGTTCAATCAAATCGAGATTCCAGGCTCAATATATTTTAAGAGGTCGGTGATACTTTCAAGCTTCTGGCCCATTCACTTGCCGGCATTTTTCATTTCAGCACTTTTTGTTTTGAGCTTTTGTTTGGGCGATATTGGCTTGACCGGCAAGCGCCAATTTTCCTATGAATCTGCAAGGCGCMGGAATATCGAGTATTGCTTAAGAAAAAGTTCGGTCTAAAAGCTTGAACATTGACACCATTCTCTCCAAATCTTAGTTTGTTGAATCTATTAACCCATAAGTGAGGACCTCGCCAAATTATGGTCCAAACACTTGAAGTACCTTTGATAACATCGCCAACGATAAAAGCATTCTCAATCTCGAAAGAAGGAGCCTTGAATTTTTCAAGGGCGGAGTAATATGCGCAGCCTAAAAGCCCTTGTTGACCACGATCTGGTAGGTGTGTTTACTGCTCTAATATTCGACGTAAATAAGAATAAGTGATTGCTTTCCTCAACTTGCAGTGCTATTAATACCAGAACTGATTAAAATCGACCCRTTTGACTTAACCTGCAAAAATTTCCCTCCGCTTCTGTTATGAAAGTTATCTAATAAACTAACTTTATTTCTTGATTGTCGAAGAAAGGTTTGCGAGTCATTGAAAAGTTCCATTGTCATTAAACCTATATCTAGACAATTTCAGATAAAAAATTTGCCGATTGATGGAAAGTCTCTTTTAGTATTTTCGAGTCTATTATCTTTGGTTTCGCGGCCAATACTGACGCTAATGGCTAAATCCTCAGCCAACCACGAAAGATTTTGTTTAGTCCCTAGCTGGATTAGAAACGTTAAGACCAAGAATAAACAAGAGATCTGTGGGGTTTATCATCTTAGCTGCGGCATTCGTAGTCTATCCTTTTCATACAACTAAAAAACCACCGAAGAATACCAAAATCCAGTTACCATTTTTTGTCTCCATCAAATATGCTAAACTTTATGCAAACACTTTAACAAGGAAAATTGTCTTCAGTAAACAGTAATAAAATATGTTTGTGTACCGTCGCCTTTATTGTATATATTAAAATCCCACACCGAAGACCGGATGAAAAGTAACCCACTGACCAAACCATAATCAACTGTAACGGAGAACAGATATATTTATTTAAAATCAAGCTGCATTCTAGTTTAGTTTATTCTAAACGCGGAGGAAAACCTATCGTTCCTGGTGAAAAGAAAATCACAGCAGGGAGGAGTCGTTTTTGTTACATATGTATGTTTTTCTGATATCTTGGTATCAGTGATTTGAACCAAAATATCATAATTTTAAACTCTTTTGCAAGAGTTAATTGATGCCATTAAATGGTGGTGACTAAGAAGAACAAATGTTAAGGATTAAGCAATCGTCATCTATTGTTCTTGCTTTAAGAAATTATTGTTCTAATGCTGACATCAAAGGGAATCTTTAACATACCGCCCGAGGAAAAAAACACAAATAAAATAACAAAATAGAAAAGATGTTTTAATGTTTATCTGCGTGCGATTTGAAGTTTGACGTAATACGGAATGCGTAAGTGAAGTTGGAACGAAACGACCATCATATAGGAATAGCCGCTGCACTGTTCATATCGCGAACGAATGCCTTGCGCGCCTTGCCAAATGGTTTAGAACTGATTATAAAGAAAATAAGAATGGAGGCGTTTCGAATACTAATTTTGTCGGCTAGCTTTGTGAATTCGAAATCAGACGAAGAGGTGATTATTAGGCAAAATTAACTAAACAGAGAATAAATTAATCCTTTCACCAATATTTCGCATCAAATGAGTCCTTTGTCTAGGTAATATGTTGTGTTTTTTTTCCGTCCACTTTAATCTCTTCCCAAGACTGCACCGTTTAAGGTATAACTAGGGTAAATGAGTTTTAATGCTCACAAATAGGATCAACAACGAAACGTTCTTCAAAATGCGAAACGTGAACGAATAGCTGTCTCTCGCCCACCTTGGCGTTTTTTCCCCAAATTATTGCCGCGTCACGGCCTAGGCTTAATTTCCAATGTTACAGTGTCATGACTAATAAAATTTTTGGACAGACAGCAAGGCACTATAAAGAATTTAAAGGTAACAGGTATATCGTTTGGACCAATGAATATGACATGTCAGCAAAACAGCTGCATCGTGATTTAATTGTGATATTCTTTGAAAGAATACACGTTTTTAAAACTTTCAGCAGCTGATGACACTATCGCCATTTAAGCCATTTCATTGGTTTTCAGCGTATTCTCGTAAAATAGACATTTAACCGTTTGCTCAGCCTGCCGCAAACATGTCACGTTCAACAAAAAAAATTCACTGCAACTTGGCAAATTAAGGTGTTCAATGTTTGCGCAAATTATTTATTCGAGCTTTCGCTAGAATTTAATTTTCATGTGGGCTTCATTTTAACGATTCTCCATAATTAATTAAGACGGGCATGAAGATATAGTTCTTCTATCGCCATGTCGACCAAATTCACGTCCACTCGTGGCATTTTATATTTTGATTTCGCGCCATATTCAGGAAGCGGTGAATTTACCGGAAAGAGGCACGTTGAAAGAACCGTAGACCAATCAGTGTTTAGTTAGTTGTGACAGGTATTGTCAAAGACATGATCTTGTTACAAACTCCGCCCATCCAATGATGTCGCTAAGTTCAAAAGAAGTGGACGTATCAGTTAACAGGCAGTTTAGTTGTTTCTTTTTTTTACGCTCGTGCGTTTGAGTAGTATGGGCTTTGACATAGGACGTTTCTTAGAGCCCGTTGAAGATGAACTAAAATGTGGCATATGTTTTGGTGTTTTAGATGATCCACTAGTAACAACCTGTGGCCATGTTTACTGCTCTCAATGCCTGGTCCAGTGGATTGCTGAAAATGGGACATGTCCTCTGACTTGCGAACAACTAGCTATAGACGATTTAAAGAAGATAGGACCACTTACTCATCTTGTCTCGAAATTGAATATTCGTTGTGGATATTATCAACGTGGCTGCCAGGCTATTTTGAAGATAGAAAATCTTCAAGCGCATCAGCATAAATGCCAATACGTAAAGGACTTAACTTCCGGAGGTAAAATTATGGAACATTGTGATTCATCTGATCAATCAAATCAAGTCGCCGTTTGCGAGAAAGGTTGTGGGCTGCCTCTGTTGTATGATCAAGAACCTTCAGGGCACGATTGTACTCAGGCATTACAAACAAATATATCTTCATTACAAGTTAAAATTACCAAACTAGAAAATGAAAAGGAACAGATATCAGAACGACTCGCCGTAAGAGAGGAAAGCCTACATGAACGGATTCTAAATCTGGAAAACGAACTCCATAGCTACCAAATTCAGGCATTGAATTTTGAAAGACAATTAAAAGAGTACCGGTCACAGGTCGGGTACTACCAAAAGCATTTGGAAATTCGTGGTGAACAGGTAAGTTTAATGGCTGTAGTTTTATTGTGTTGATCCGATTTTCAATGTAACTAAACCTGGCTGTTTTACTTGTGACATGAATGTTTTGGATCACAACGTCTCGACTCATTCACCGGCGATGCTTTGTGATTATTAACTCGTTGTACAATGAAGAAGCCCCGCTGATGCTACAGCAGAATGACTCCATACTACTTCTAAGATAATCAACAATACGTGATATCAACAAGAGTGTTATTGTCTTTCTCAGTACGGCTAAGAATTAAAATGTTCGGGATCGACGCTTACGCGCAAGCATTTATTCAGTATGTCAACAATGGGTAGGCTCTGGAGTGTGAAATACATTCTTCTAATTTTACCCTGACTTCAGAATCTATGTGACATTGTATGTTATTTTAGTGACTTGGAACGACACTTTATTAAGTTGTATGTAAATAGACAGTGGCGAAGGCATACCGTCTATGTGCTTTTGATTATAAATATTTCTTGTTTGTCTTCTTTTTTATGTGATTCCAGCCAGTAGAATCAATGCAAGTGGAAGTCTTATTAGAGCGTATTGATGGATCTCTTGGGTTCAACATTATGGGTGGAAATGAGGTAGTAACTCTTGAAACAATTAAATTTATGCACTCGACTGTTTTGGACAGGGCGTTCAAAGTGGTCCGTAAGACATTAACTGAGAATTCCTTTCGTGTCGAACGACTAAACCCCCTCTTCACCTTGTAATCTACAAACCAAGATAAACGTATAAATAGAGGGAGAAGTGATACTAAAACAATACACAGATCGTCTTAACGCAAAAAATGTTCCTTGTCTGTGCATGTTGAGTGAGGTTCTTCAAGTAAAAAACCATTAACACGAAACTATTAAAAGAATTATCAAGCAGTATATAATTTAGTTATCACTAAAAGTGTTAGAAAACCTGTGAAGYGCGAATCCGGCTGTTAAGAACTCGGTGTGGAGTATTGCTCTGTGTTTAACAGATTAGCGATTCGTGAGCTATTGAACTTACTCATAAGCCTGTTTGTTTGCGCGTGGTTTGGCTTTAAAAAACCCAAGAAAAAGGTATGTATGTTAGCCCTAGAATATGAAGCCCCCGATCCCCGCGCTGTTGCCATTTCTGTCTAGATAAGAGATTACAGACTGAAGAATGAAACGACATTTTGCATCTATGGTTCTTTGTTTGTAAAATTGACTTTCCTATCTGTTTTCATCTGTATCAGGTCGGAAGCAAGTCAGTTGGGGGTAGTGGTATTGTGGTTTCTAAGGTTGCTGAAGGAGGGCCTGCTGCAAAAGTTGGGGGCCTGAGAGTACACGATCGAATAATGAAGGTAAATGTGAAATCTACCCTAAACAAAAGCTTAACGTTGACAGTTATATCTATAGTCCGAGGATATTTAGTTGATATTGGGCGCATGTCATAGGGTCATAAGCGAAATGCCTCCGCGTTACAATATTTGGATGGTGTAGGGTTTCAATAAATGGAGTATGTGTGTTTTTCTCGTTCCGTGGTTCCCTGTTGTAGTGTAGTGTTACCCTCCTTTGTTGTACTTGAGACCCTAATAAACCCACAAGAAGTTAGTTTATCAGAATTTTTTACTGAAAATTTATAATGATTCATCTGAGGTTATGTGAAGATTTCCGACTGTCAAACCACGGCTTAATGAAGTAACCAAAAAGCCATATGCTCAACTCTCTATGAACACGATAGCGAGCTTTATAATTATCGTATGTAAACAAATCTCATTGGAACGCTCTGATTTTTTACTTTGAATTCAGAAAAAACCATTTACGGATTGGGAAAGGATTACACATATTTTTTCTCTTAGAACAAGCATATTGTTCATTCAGTCCCACGTCTTTTCTTATTACGACCGGAAAGAGCGGTAAATTTGGTAGTAATTTTTTGTTTACAGTACATCATTTGTTTTCATTTTTTTCTTCAAAAAGTCATTATCCTCTTGGATCATGTTAATGCAAGAAAACGAATTCACACATTCAAATTAGTCGCCCCAAGCCTGGAAAGTCCTTTGATTTTCCGAAGAAAAACCTTTTTGAATGAGATTTTAAGATTGTTGGTTAAATTTTTTCCAATGGTAGAAGGAGTGTTACGACATTTAACAATTAATGTCACGCGACTTCACGAATAAACCCAAGAAGTAAAGGCAGACTTGTGATCTCATTCACCTGACTCTACAATAGAAAATAAAATTCTTTGTGTAGGCGAAATCGCTTCTCGTTGATTTTTTTCTTTTTCCTTTACTGGATAAAAGGCGTTTATCGGAAATTAGGCTTCCAGCGAATCAATTTATCATGTATGTTTTCTTTTGGTTGGGAATATAAGTTAATTAATAACAAAAGCATATATTGTGAACGCCTCGAGATGATCCAGTTCTTGGGGATATTTACCCAAACTCTAAGGAAGAGTTCTTGTGTCATGCTGTTACCTGATATAGTTCTTTCCGTAAAATTTTTAAAACATAAGAATGTTTTAGTATGGCATCGGTAAATTAGGCCTAAAGGGTCGGAACTACAACCTACAGAGAACCTCTCAGTACAATGTATATCACAGCGTCCTGCGAAAATTTCTAAGATCTCATTATGTTTTTTTTTTCTTTTTCATTATACGTTTTCAATTCTTGTTTTTCACAGTTATCATTCACAAATTCGGACTGTTTATACAAAGACAGGATTAATAAGACATTTAGTCTGAAACTCATTATTAAAGTCTTTTTGCCACAAATGTCAAACATAATCTTATAGGGGAGGGGTATTTGCATCTGATCATTTCTGACATGTCGAAGAATACTATATCTTGTGTTAATATTTTCATTTTGCAAATGAAATCTAATTGTTTTTATGAAATGGCAAACCCTTTTGAGCATCTTTTCTAAGGTCTTATAGATTTAAAATTTCTTGCTCCATAATTCATGAAACGTTATTCCTTGGAATTTTTTCTTTTCTCTTTCAGAAATGAGTTTGTTTTGATAAAACATTCATTGTTTATTTGTTGTCTAGTAAACTAATATGAATAATGTTTTGTTAGAAAATAAAACCAAGAGTTATATGCACATATTTGTTGACCCCCTCCCTAGTCAGGATAAAAACATCAATGACCTATTCAAACCATCCACAAGAAGTAGGACTATGAACAGCTTTTGAATACATCAAGTATGCAATATTCATTCTTTCAAGATATCTACTTTGTAGCTCCTGTCATCAGTGGATACCACAATTGTTTACATTTCCTTGGGTTTGTAGGGATCAAGTCTAAGATATGGCTGGTATTGCCACAAAAATCCATTACTTATTGTTTTAGTAATACCTCAAAGAATATACAGCTTATTCTAAAATGAGTTCATTGTGCTATCTTAAGGTCATGGCATTTGTCCAGATTTTCTAAGGGGTTTTTGTATAATTTTAAAGTTCAGGTTAAATGAAACTGCTGTCCATCGTCAAAATAAGGCTTTACCTCTGAGAGAAAGAAAATATGATAGCAGAAAAAAATGTATTTTATTATTTTTTTACTTAGAATTTATTTTAGTTGATTGTAATAATATAGGTTCATGAAATTTGAGAATATTGTCTTTATTTTCAATGAAAGAATATTACAATTTTTTAATGAAAATTAACCATGAATTTCTAAATTAACTTTTTGTTTTAAAAAAATKATATCAATAATTTCAAAGGTGAATTTTTTTTCCGTCTTTTTTATTTAAAGTTTTTGAAGACTGTTATTTCAGGAAATACTGCAGATGGCTTCATTATTTTAGTCATATATGAGCTTTAGCTTTAACTTTGCTCATTAAAAATAGTTGTCAATGACAATCTAAACTAAGAGAGGCATTTTATGATAGGTCATGATAAGTGTGAAAGACATTTGAGGGTATTAAAAGTTTTCTGTAAAAATTGTCTTTCACAACTTTTTCATTAATCTTGATTTTGTTTTGTTTTGTTATTTTCTTTTTTAAAATTTAAAACTAGCCTTTGGAAACTACATTTTTGGCAATGTGAGAATAGCTTTAAGGAAAAGAGCTAATAAATTCAAAGAAAATGTAAATGAAAGTTTTGAAATTGATATTTTGAAAAAAAAGTAATGGGGTTTCTTGAGAAATGTAAAGAATAACATTTTTGGTCTTTTAAATGTAAGATGGTAAAAATGTCTTTTAAATTTTAATTTTTTTTTGAGAATGAATTCTTTAGCATTTACATCACATACTTTAATCATTATGAAAAAATTTAACCTTGAAAATAATTTTTATGGCCATTATGATATTATCATCTAGCTTTTTAGTAATGGAACCATTTTTTAAAAGTGTTTGTGGAGAGGAGTCATAATGTTACTAATTTTAAATTGCCCTTTATTTCCAGTACCTACAAATAACCCCATTCTAAAATTGTATCATATTTATTTTGATATTTTTTATGTTGTTATAGGTATATATTGTTTTCATGATGCTTTTCCCCCATTTCTCACTAAATTGCCTCAAACCTTTATTTTGGCTGTAGGGTAATAAGGAAACCTAATGGACCTTTTTACTTGAGTAAATGGATTGTATGTTTTAGAATATTTATGATTTGAGAAAAGGGAAGGGCATGAGGATAGTGGTATTTAGATAACTAATTTTTACAAAAAGTAATCATTTTGGTTGAAGCTTTGGAGCTAACTTAAAAATATATTGTAAAATTTTATGATAGGCTGAAAGGAGCCTTGAAGGCTTGGCATTTTTAATTTATTTATCTTTATAAGGATTTGTCTTTTTTGAGAATAATTTTAAACTAAATTGTAGATTTATTATTCTTATTTTAAAAACTGTCTTCATTAAATAGAATCAATCAGTATTGATTTTTGCACCTGTTTTAATTTTGATAGGTGAACTTGCATATTGCAGTATCAAATAATAAAAGTATATTTTTTCCATTTTTTGCATAATGTATTAGTGAAAATATTATTTGTTTAAATTTCAGCAGAATTTCCTTAAGGTCTGTTATTTATACCTACAGATATCTTAGAGATGAAGTTCTGTCTTGTTTATGCATAAACATAGTCTGCTATATACCTATTAGTTTTTAGTATATCTTTTACCTAAGAGATATACCTTTAATTGCTTTTACGTCTTTGCTAAAGGTGTGGCTAAGGACTATAAAACTCTTGTAAAACAGAAAAGAAATCAACATTTAAGGAAACGTTTGATAAGACACATAGACCAAAAAATAATAATAAAGTTTCTTTTAAAGAAAATTCGACAAAGCAAATAGAAGCTTTCAGAAATTATAAATCCTTTTTGGTCACAAAATTTGTTTTAATAGATTCATTGTTTCAAAAAAAAGCAGCATCATTTACTTTGAGAAATGTTTGTTTTGAACCATTTCATCTTCTTAGCTTTTCCCAAGCTTAATTTGACTGAGTAAATTTAGTTTTATCTCGCTAGCTATCTTAATATGTTTGTTTGATTGCATATACTACGAAAATCCATTAACTTACATGTGTGATATCTAGCAAGAAGTATTAATAAAATTTTGGAAGATCATAACCATTTCTTCTTGATCTATTTTTAACAGATTGTTTCCATAAGTCGTGGGGCAAGATTTTCTACAACTTCTTTTGTCCATAATTTCACAGCTTCAATACTAAACACCTTTACATGAATTCAAAGCACCAAAGAATTAATAATTTAAAACGGTTTTGATTATATTTTCGTTGATTTTATTTTTTGAAATTAATTTTAGGTTCTCATTGCCGTACGTTATTTTTAGGTGCAGAATTCAAACTAAATTCTTAAAATGGTTTTGAATTTTGATTGGTTGAGTTTTAATGAATTGATAAACTTTGAAATAAAGATATATCACCTCCTTGATCCTACCCAAAAATGCATTTAATGGTAAAGGTATTAGTTGTACTAATCATTAGATAACAATGTTTTTTTCTAGCATTAATTCTGGCAGATTTCATTTTTATTTCGTTTGATATCTTTGTTCTAGACTACAATTTTCAATCTTCTCGATGTTTCTAATGGTTGCATAATTTTTCTGTAAGTTTTTCCTTGATGGATCTCCGTAATGTCTTTCCATTTTATTATTTTTTTGTTATTATTAAGTTTATTGATTCTCGGTTTTTAGAATATAAAATTAAAGACTATATAATCAAATTTCATTGATCAATACATTTCGCTACTCAACCAGAAAATTATAGCCTTCTCAATTTCAAATCACACCAATATGAAAGTGAGCCAATATATTTTTAAAGTAATTACATTTTCTTCACCTGAAGATTATGGCTGATAATGAATGCTGTTTGAACAAAAGAACTCATTTATGAATCATTACTTATTCACAGAAATATGTGAATGTAATCGAATTTTAAGATTTTATGTAATTTCTAAAACTTATATGATATGGTAGCCGGACAAGAAATTCATAATCTTATACTTTGCAGTGGTCCAACTATTTTTAGTTTAGCTATTATCTGGTTCATTGGTGCGGTTTCAAAAAAATTTTTTTATGTTACTCTAATTGTAATTATCACCGTAAGAAAACTTATAGATAACGGGAAATTGAAAATACATGTAGTGTGGTAGTTGGAATTCCGCACTTCTGAAAATATTTGGCTAATTTCTAAATTGGGATTTCGTATTTTTTCACTTCTATAGCGATGTGATCCCAAAAATAATAAAAAAATCGTGCTGTTATTCAAAATATTAATAAATTAGTTTAAAGTACTTCTAAATAGAATTCTTTTACGCACGACGGTACTATTTTTACTTAAGTGTTTTCAAGAACTTTGCATCTTTTACGCCGAACTAGTTTATCTTGCATACATTCTTACTTGTAGTTATATGATATGGTATGTAGAAAAACTAGGGGGGAAAATATTCATTTTAGAAACGCCTTTTCCAAACCCTGTATGGAATCATAACCATTGACTTACGGAACTGAATTTTATTCTTTTTGGATACTATCCTTAAGGCTTATTTTGGTTAAAAGATGGTCAAGTACTTCAAGAATGCAAAACTTGTGTTGCCTGAGAACTTACTTTGATGATCTGAATGATTGATATTGCCTTTGCAAAATAAAACAGTTCAAAGTTATACCGTCCTTTAGTGAGATATGGCAAAGAATTTTAGGCATTTAACCTCTTGTTTTAATTTCAATTTTACGATCGGTTTTTCAGATGAGTTCTTTTATTTTGAGATACTGGTGCGATTATTTCCACATATCTGTTTTTCGGTTGTCAAGTAGTCGCGTGATCATGCTTTAACGAAGTGTATTGGCCTGCAGCTATAATCACCTATTGCCAATCACGCCAAATGCAATGTGTACTGACGAGCAGACGGGATTCTTGTCCACTAAAGTCTACCAAAAAGTAGACAATATTTTTCGACATTCAGAACGACGTTAAAAGCAGCTATAAATTTTCTTTTTTCCCCGAGAAATGTAATAGATTAATGCCGGGCATTTGTGTCTTTACTAGATTTAATCGTATGGAAATGCGAAAAAGGTTAAGCAAAGTCAAACTATGTTGCATACGACATGATTTTGTTTTCTGGTCTTGTTATATTTCAAAAGAGATTAGGATTTTAATTAATGGATAAGGCAATAATAATAGTAATTACAATCAAGATTTTTATCTCGAAGCACCCTTCAGGGATAAATTGGCTAAAGTCCTCGTTATCAGTTTGTGCAGAACACATTATTAACACATTTGGGTACTTAATTGTTCATGATCCCCCATGTTGTTCCCCTAGGCAAAAGCTTGAAGTGGGAGGTAACATGAGGTGGTAACGTTTGTAAGTTATAAAAAAATATCTTGTGTCAGAAAGCATCTTTCCAAATGAAAGGAATTTTGAATATTTTAAATAGTTTTAACATTCATTTTTTAAACTTTTTTCACAATCTCTCAACTTTGTTTAATGGAGTCCTACGTTATTTATAGATTTCATGACGTTTATGCTTTTGTTATAGGTTAATGATATTGATTTATCTGAGGCAACTCATGGACAAGCCGTGCAGGCATTCAAGGAGGCTACCGAACCAATTGTTATTGCTATTCAAAGAAAAGTTGACAAAAACATTGAATGTTTGAATAAAGTAGTTTCAAGTGGGACTCAAACTGAGACTTTAGCACATGACGTTGATACAGATAGTGGAATCCATGACCGGTACAGCCCAAGACAAGATTTGCTTCAGCTTCAAAGGTCTAAATCACTTGATGACGGGACAAGCAGTTCAGAGTACTCCCACAGAATAATCGACTCGAGCCGTGATGACCTCGAGCTAACAAACTTCAGGGGAGGTGCTTTTCCTTTTACAAATGATCTTAGTCCTAAGAGCACAATCAGGTCTCAAGATGATTCGGTTCACCAGGTCTCTGATATGAAGGACATCAACAATGTGACAGATGACAACCCCAATTACATGTATAATTCTTATGCCATGTCAGATCAAGTTTTCTTCGATGAAGAGTTGGATTATGAGTATGAGGTGAGAAGAAAGAGCTTTAAATAGAGTTTCCCACGGTATATTTATCCTGTGGTCAGCATCGTTTCCTCAGCCAACTAGACTGTACATTTCACATTCGTGTCCCAGCATGGTGCACTTCCCATAATACAAAGGTTTGGTTGGGCATCTATTAACGAAGCACTTATTCTGTCGTAGATAAAACATTTACCCCGCCTTCTTAAACAACTGTACTGTCAAGCACTTGAGTTTAATCCTGCAAACACAATATTAGTAGATAAAAGAAATTGCAGTGTATCGAAAACAGAACATGAGCTTCGTGTGTGGTGTCATGCAACGTCTCATTTATAGAAGTTTGGCAAATTTGATAGTGATTTATTGTTTTTCTCCCTTTTATGCAATTCAATTTATTAAAATCGCTATTCATTTATTATTTCTTTTTGCTTAGTCTTTCCTGTTAGGTAAATTTTTTTTTTCGCARCCATTGGTTATGTTCACGTGTTCAGTGAAATCTTGAGCCCTCATTCACTACAATATTGAAACCTGCACGTTTCACTATACCTGGAAGTATTTGCTTCAGCTTAAAAAAAGTTTTAAAAACTAATTATATTTCTTATTACTTGACATTTTTAGGAAGTGACTTTATGGCTTGGCGCAGGAGATATAGACTTGGGACTGACTTTTTGTTGTGGAGAAGAAGACGAATCGGCTGTCTATATTTGTGTGGTAAGTGGCTATTTTGACAGTCCTTTTTCTAAAACTAAAATAGAATACACTAACCTGAWGTGTTTGTCTTGCAAAAGCAATGAAACGTTGCCAAAGAAGAAAAGAAAGTGCCTAAAATCAATCGTTGTACTCCATAGTCCGCCATATTTTTTTGTATTTCATTCACTAGCAAATTTGCTAAAATTTTCCCGCCAAAAACGCGCGCGCGTATGTGCCTTTAGTTTTGGCGCGAATTTTTTCTTTACTAATTTATAAGTACGTTAACTATTTCGTTTTACTTTTCCTTCCTTTTTATTTATTATTATTATTAGTTATTAATTACAATCGTTTTTTTAAAGATCGAACAAGATTCAGTTGCATATCTTGATGGAAGGCTCATGCTATGGGATCAAGTCTTAAAGGTTTGCGAGATTTACAAATTTGCGATGGTTTTGCATTGTATAACCTCTTAGTTACCACGATATGACGTCAACAGTTGTCCGCTCAAAATGTTATGTACTCACAAGGCGTAGCCGAGGAAATTGAATACTCTAAAAATTCTTTTTCAGATTGATGACCAACCTGTTACTCATATAAACGACATAGAACCTTTAGTATGTGAATCTACGGAGACTATAAAGTTTTTAGTTGCAAGACCTGCTCAAGAGGTAAGTAACTGTTTCTAAGGAAGTTGTGGAATGCCCCGTGTCTAGACCCGTGAACAGCGAAAGCGTTTTTGGAGCAGACACCACCTTGCGGTGTAGGGGACCCCTTTAAGGGATTATGGGGCTCCAACTGCTGCTGCTTTTTCGAATTTTGTTAGATAAGCAGGCAAAACAAGCTGTGATGTCCGAACTATGCAGGATTCAGTCTGTTAAATCAATAAATACCACCAATTTTTTTCGGCGATTAAATGATAATTATCGTTTAATACAAAACGTAATACAACTTATTGATTGATTCTATTCTATTTTGCTCTGATCTCCTCTCTTCAGCCGTGAGAAATTGGCTCTCGTGCATAAAACATTCTCTTATAAAACAATATATTTATTATTCTTTCTCAGTCGAACAGTTTCCTCGTGATTCGTGGATAAAACTGACTAGCTTGTTTTTGACGTTAGAGTTTTCATCTATAAATACTTTAATGACCATTAAAAATTAGATTTCCTGCGGTAAGAAATAACGTCTCTTCTGCAATGATTTAAAAGTTATATCAGCTAACTTCCCATTAAGCTAAAAAGGCGTTGGTACATGAAATTCGTGTTCCCTTGTTTGTTTTAAGTATTTTACCTAAAAGTAATGTTTATTTTGTCTTAAGATAGATGACATTTTGACATTAATTAGGCGCCGTCAATTATATTCAGTCTCTTCTTTTCAATAGCCGGTATCATAGATAAATGTTGCCTAGAGTACCAGCCATATCTCTGTTGGCGGGTTTGCAGTGAAATATCTATTATCATTACCCGTACTATTAATGCTTTGCGTGCAGGTTAACAATAGTAAAAGTAGGAGACTTCTTAAAATATACTTTTCTCATCTTTATTTATAACGTGATTCTTTATTTTTTGTCAGTTCTTTTTCTAGCAAAATATTCTTATCGATCGTWTAAACTATTTTTAGTTTTCCGCTTTTTCGATGAATCACATCCGAATCAATGACCTTGCCTTCTGGGTTGAGGACGGTAGGTCATCTCTTTGGTAACTAGGTATCGAAATCCTATTAAAAAGTTACCAAGAATGGTACATTGTCTTTCCTATAAATGACGCCAATATCAATCGTAAGTTGATAGGTTTGTTTGACCTCATTTACTCCGATCACGATTAAATGYGAAGGCAAAATAACAGATCTGAAATGCCAAAAATGTTGCATGTTAAAAATGCGGTACTACCAGATTACAAAGCCTATCGGAGATTCATGCACTCCAGGTCAGTACAGTTTGAACACTTGTAGCAAAGAACCACAGTGAGAAACAGTGAAATAATCTCAGAAAGCCTCTTTCTTTTTTTGGCAACTCCCCAGTTAATTAGGATGCCCTTTTGATGATACGTCAACGGTAGATTATAGTCTAGAAATATTTCCGTGGACGGTTTCATTGATCATGGGCAAGCCTATTTTTGGATTTACTTTGCGGTTTCTCTGATAGCTCCGATCTTTCCTTGATTTAAAAGGAACTGTTGTATTGGTTTCCTGGAAGCTTTTCTTTTACGATGAATTGTCAATGCACGACCTTTTTAGCCCAAAGAAATATGACGCTACTCTGGACGCTACCGAAACGTGCATGTCATTTTTGATAATCTCGGGCACGAGCTGTGGCAACCCACGAAGTTAATTCTGGATATAAGTCAGTACGATATTTCTCCTTTTAAACTGATGATGATGCTTTGGTCTTAGATACTTTAGATACCTTTTTTAATGCTTTTTCCATTCACTTCTAAGACTTGTTCCTAGTCTTTCGAGCATTTGGTGCAGTTCTAATTAAAAGGGCGCGAAATTTAAAATATGAAAAAAAGTCGCAGTTTTCAATACAATTGATGAATGACGATGATGGCTTTTAATCAATTACTGACTCGATTGCAAAATCTATTAAGAATTATAAAATGACTGTTATAGATCTCGCGCAATAATTGGTTGGCAGCGCGTGCTTTATATTAGCCTGTGTGCACTTTCGATTGCGTCAATCCTATTCGAAATAATGGTTATCGCGATTCGTATTTTATAGAAGAAATAAAAAACTTCCTTGCTAGCTGTGCTGTGCTGTGTGTAGTTGTTATAAAGCACCTGGGTTTGCAAAACACTCGAGCCAATCTCCTGCTTTTCTTTATAACTACACACCGCACGCACGCGCGCATTTTCAGTTTCTTTAAATGAGAAATAAGAATTGCCTTGTACATGTAAATGATGCATCAATTAATAAAATCCAATTGCCAGCGCATTTTACGAAAACCGAGAACGGGTTTGGGTAACATCCGTTGAAGCATTCCGTCATTTTTCACGTCTCTTACATATTCAAACTTCTATTTTTGGGTTGTCTGCATGCTTTGTGATAGTGAGCCATAGCGCGCGCTTCATAGATTCCAGCACACATGCAGCAGTATCTTTAAATATAGACATTCATTACTCCACTCCCAGCTGTAACATGTTACGGGCATACCAAGTTACATGTGCATTTCATATATATTTCCTTCTTTGTTCAAATATGGTATGTCACACATTCTCGTTTGTCAAATCTTACTCCTCTCGGCCTTGCCGTATCATGTTAAGGCATGCCAAGTTACAACTGCATTTCATATTATCCGGCTATTTGTTTAAATTTGGTATGTCACAAATTAAATTCCATTTTTGTTGTTTTCCTAATCAGGTCCAGGCGACGTTTATTGGAGCAGAAGGTAGCGCAACGTGGGAATGCGCAGACAATTACGGGGGATTTAGAATTGCCGCAATTAAGGAAGAGGAAGAAGATGGAGCTGAAACAGTTAACAGCGAGAAAACAAGTGGAGATAAATGTGAAAAGGACAGTGGGTTTGGTAGAACCGATGAAAGTACAAAGAACGATGAGAGTTCGGAACAAGATACTCTTGACAAAATAAAACGATCCAAGGACAAGAATAATCGTAAAACACGTGATCAAAATGTCGATGTGAATACACCACCTACGACTCCAAAGAAGGAGAGTAAGTCCTCGCGTAGTAAGTCGTCAGAAAACGGTTCTAGTAAAGAGAGCAGCTCTAGTAAAACTGTCGAAAAAGAATCTAGTAAACGCTCACCAGAGCGAAGTGATAAAAAGCGATCAAATGGATCACCTACGCACAAAGATAAAAGATCGGATCGTAAGAAAGATAAGGATAAGGATAAAGGATCTAACGAACGTGAACGTGAAAGGGACAGAGACCGTGATAAGGACCGCGATCGTGAAAAAGGACGTGATCGCGATCGTGATAGGGGTAAACATTCTGATCATCGTCGATCGCGGCGCCTTGGTTGTGTGGACAGAAGTATACGCGCGTCATATATGCGCGCTTGCAAGGATTCTATTCAAACTATTAATTTGTTTGGAATCGATGATTCCAACATCATTAAAGGGGATCAAAGGCGACGRAAATCATCAAAAGAAGAATCAAGTAATGAAGCGCAACAAAATGAATGGAAAGTCAGAATGACAAAGGATGGTAAACATATTTTTGTTCGTAAACAATCTAGTACGTCTGCTCGACAGGCAAGGAATAAGTTACTTCGCGACAGAGCACAGAAAATTACGGAGGAACGTAGAGGATTGACAACTGAAGACGACACGCATTCTGTTTATCAGGGTCGCTATTGTCCACGTGATATGAGAAGAAGACAGCTTGAAAAAGTAAGAGAAGCGCGGATTCATAGAAGCCAAAAACTGAAGGCTGCATCTGATAGTCCACACACTGGAAGTGGTTCAGAAAGCGGAGTTGGGAAAAGAGATCTCATTGTTGAACTTAGCAAGAGAAAAATGCTCAAAAGCAATGACCGAAGCTTTGATGACTTTGTTACTGTACAGGAACTGTTAGTTCAAAGAAATATAGATGGATGCCAAAGTGGACCAATTCATGTTACRACCGTATAAAAATATTAGGCCCAATATGCCGGACTATAACCTTAACTATCTATATAGAGTAATATCAATATATCAGTATTCGCTATGCTTTGGCTTTGGTCGTGCAACATCCAAGGAAAGAAAGAGTTTGACTTGATTGAGACTGAAATTTACGTTTCTGAGCATTGACTCAAGCGACGTGAGGCAATAAAGTCTCCCTGCATTTCCTTATATCTTGAGTTTCTACACGCAGTGTTTTGMGCAAGAACAAATTTACTTTTTCCGATCTACTGTTCATCTGCGCAAATGCGCAGGTAGTGACCGGGTTTTGTTTAGATACCTTTAAATGCATGGCTTTTTGTAATGAAATCATTGGACTGCTATTAAGCGCAGTGTTGTTTTCAATACCAACAACAAAGTCTTGCTTTTGATTTTCTGCAAGGTGTGGCACTAAATCCTCCTCGGATGGATAGCGCAAATCAATTATAAATAAATTCACAAACTGAAGGAAACGTAAAACTTAATTACACTGTTTTTGTGTTATTATAAAGCTGTAAAGTTGTTTMATCCTTTCATACGGCTGGCTATGATTTGACGCGTTGCGCAAAATTGTTAGGACAGTTGTGCTGGGAACATAATTTACTACTCAAAGATCTTTAAATTTCCAATGCTCCTGAAAAKGCCTAGCCTGCGTGCAGCCCGTTTTTAACTCGGACTCAAGATCGGGCTCAACGAAGGCTAGAAGTGGCCAAGTGGTCGGAATTCCTAAAATGTTACTTCAAAGAGAAAATATTTATTGATGTAYCAGTTTCCTAAATACTTTTGCCACATGTCAACTCAAACTATTACAGCTTAGAATTGGCAAAGTAGAGTGTAAAGCTGCTGCGCGGCTGCTACACAATGAAAGTTTTAGCTGAAACTTTAGTGCAACGGCCTTTTTAGATATGTTTAGCGAAAATGTTCACCTTTAAAAATAACAGCTTTGTGAAACTTTCTTGGCGAGAAAGGTTCATGGAAAAAAGATAACTATAGAGCTAGTGCACCTGAAGCTTGTCTCCGAAGGCGCAAGGCAAGTTCCATGAGGAAAAAATGACGCCGCATGGTGCTACCCCTCGTGGAACTCGTCTTGTGCCACCGTTGCGCACAAGATTCAGCTAACATTTTGACCTGGAACTGCGCTTTAACCATTGATGAAATTTGGAACTTCGGGTGACTATCCGGCTTCAAACGATGGGCGTTTCCCAGAATTGATGAATGGTTACAATGGATTGAGGGCTTATTTAACCCTCCAATTGTTTGAAAAAACACTGCACTAAAATGGCGGAATGTTTAACAACTGAATAGATCAGATGTGCTCTTTCATCTAATTTCTTATTTTTATCAAAACAAAGAGTGCGCATCCTTTTTTTAATTCAGGGTAAGGCGCTTCTCACATCCTGAACCAAAATCTGGATGAAAATATTGTATGTGCTGCAGTTTAGATTTAGCACGCACAGTCAAGGATGTAAATAATCCAAAAAAAAAATTGTTTATTTGGTTTCTAAATTTCTTCGAGAGAGAAAATTTAACTTCAACAATTTTTTTKGGGTTCCGAATTTCAAACTTGGTGTTCAAAACTAGTTTGTTACGCGCGCTTCTTCTTGTATTTCAATTCAGTTATTCAAGAGATAAAGTAAATTTATTTTTATGTACATTTAAAATTATTTATTGCTAAAGTAGTATATTCTATATTTTGTATCATATTGTATATYATATAAGTATTCCATTCGTTTTATGTGTGCCCTTTTGTTTTTGTGAAGCTGATACTTTAAGCTGAATGAGACAGGAAGAGAAAGATGCGRTTTCCCATTAAAGACTTAATATCTTGGAGATAATTATGTTAAATAATATAACTGAATATATGAAAATAAAAATTTGTATTGGAGTATCGATCTCGAATGCATGCAAGTATACAATGTTGTTTTTGAACAGGATTTTCCGTCGCAATGGTTGCGCATCCAAAATGGCCAGACGGACCAGCGATACCGCAAAGCAATAAAGCTTTTATTCAGATTAAAAGGCGCCGGACGACCACTGAGGTATAATTTTTGAAATAAGGTCTAGATTCCCGGGATATCGAGTGCGGAAACTCTGCATGGTAGCACAAAGCATTCACGGCTATGCTGGAGATTCCGGCCCTAACACTAGCATCCAATTACAGAGTGATCAGGAAACTAATCGGCTAAAGCGTAAGAGAGATTAGGCGCGTCGGCCCCTGGACCGTATACGATTTTTGCTAAGAGCAGTAAACTCGGTATATCACATGTGTTGCTGATCACTAAGACCCATGGTCATTCCTTTCAATGTTGGACGCATGCCGCTTAAAAACTAGCAACAGATTTGAGGTCTTATAAATTTAAAGGATSCACCTGACCTGATAAGAAGCGTTTTCTCATCATTGAGGGGCCACCATTTTTTATGAACCCCCCTTTTTTTCTTKACCGCAAAGAAGTTACGTCAAAATTTTCAAGCCTTTCGGAGATAATTGATGCGATTCTTTTTGATATTCTTCTTGTTATCAACTTGTCAAGGCTTTTCTACTTAGGTGTTATAGCATTCCGTTGGCTCGACAAATTTCTTGAAACTCCGCACGGTTTGTGTTACCCAAAATGCATTGTAAGCTCAWTGTGTTACCGCGAGAGCCTGGTCATTATAAATAAAGGCGACATTTTGAATTACTGTTGATGAAAACAGTTTTGTTTTGCTAACTTTTTTAACGAGTGAGTGACTCGCCATATATCTTCAAAGTGGGCCCTGCATTCCGTAGTGTCCGTCATAGAACTCTTTCACAATGTAGGATAAACAAATGAGGTTTCTCAGAAAGGTAGGAAGTGATGTTGCATCGTTTTACCGACAGCAAACGCATGGAAACGTTGGGTCTCTTAGCATGTTTGTCAGACATATTTTTCGACGAAGTAATTGCTGTTATGGAAGTAAAAAATACAGTTATTGGATCACTGGTCATCATTCACGACATATGTGCAGTGAAGGGCTATCTGGAAACCCATTAAAAACTGTTGCTAGCATCCAAAATCGTACCCGTAGTCTACTGAAAGCTTTATGCGACGCACAAAATGAGCAATCCAAGCTGATCAGRCTGGAAATATTCAACCAGCACATTCTGACRTATTTGAATGCTGGTCGCAGCGAAGCTATCAGAGCAGGAGCCTTGGAAATCATGTTGAATATAAAGAATTCAAAGAATAACGAGGTGAAAAAGGAAGCAAGGAAAGCACTGTCACTGTTAGGATGGGTGGAGCCTGTAAAGAGTTGGGGTGTGAGAGTGCTATGCATTGATGGAGGAGGATCAAGGTAAACTATAGTAWACTGGGCCCAGTTGTTTAAAGCTTGGTTAGTGCTAATACTAGGTTTACTTTACTGTAGCACTAAGGGAATAGACCTATCCCGTATTCGCTTGACTGGCCACGAAACAATGGTTTCAATTCGAGGTTGAACTTGATGAACAAAAAACCAAGTCCAGTCTCAACTTCCAACCATTGTTTCATGGTCAGTCAAGCGAATTCGGGATAGGTCTATTATTCGTAGGATTAGCACTAATAGAAAGTATGCTTTTTATTGGGGGGAGGGTTGGGGGATTAGCAGTAAACTTTTAAAATGTCTGTAGCCCTCCCTCTTTCATGCAGTACAACACAAGAAAAGTGTTCCATAAAATATGCATTCATTTGGATAACTGTTATTTTGGAATTATTTATTTATTTGAGATTTATTGGCAGGCTGGCACTGCACAATAGGACACAGGGTCCCCTTTGAGGTACATTACAGCAATYTTAAACCCCATAAAATTCCCATACCTGTACCCATCTAACAATCAACCCATTAAGAAATTATTARTAAAGGCATGACACTGAAGGTGGTCACTGCCAGGATTTCTTTACATYCTCAGTGGTCCTTTTACGTCCCTACGTACTGGTTGCAGGGTGAGTTAGTGTTGGTCCAGCCGAAGCTTTTCCTCAGTTATTCAGACCTTGAATGTTGGTCCGGCGAGACTTRAACCATGACCTCCCACACTAAAGTCTGATGTTCAACCAACCAGGTTGCCGCATAAATGATAATAAAAAGGGGAAGTGTGTACCTAAAAGCTCCGAAAAGCACATGCAAGTGCTTGACTAATCAATCATTACAACAAGATTTATAACATGCGTAATTGGTAAATTATSAGCCTTGCATTTGCACTCGACTTCTTCAGTCATTTCATACAAGGCTCATAATTGACCTATTAYGCATGTTCTTRTATGATTTCCGAGCCCATCCCACATGGCTTACCACCTCATTTATCATGTACTACTTTTCGTGGGATTCTACAAGCTCACTAGATACACTGTGCTGACAAGGCCCAATACAGGCCGAAACAGCTGTCCATGGTTTCTATAGTTGAGCTGGCTCATTTTTTTACGYGACTTGAAGTTGTGAAAGGCCCAATTTGGCACTCTTCTTCAGTCATTTCATACAAGACTCGTAATTTACCTATTGCGCTTGTTCTTATATGATTTCCGAGCCCATCCCACATGCCTTAGGGCCTCACATATCAGGATTTATAACAGTTACCTGATAATGCTAATTTTTAATTGTGTGCTTTTCTTTAGGGGTATTGTTCCAATTGAAACCCTCAAAAGAATTGAAGACTTGTGCAATAAAGGAATCCATGAACTATTTGATCTTATTTGTGGTGTATCAACTGGTGCTATACTAGCTGTGCTTCTTGCAATACAGARGATGCCACTGGATGAGTGTGAATATGTGTATAAGAACATGAGCATGAATCTGTTTGAACAAAACTCTCTGATTGGAACGGGAAAGTTGTTCTGGACTCATGCTTTCTATGATACTGAACGACTGGAAAATATTTTAAAGTAAGTGAAATGTGACCAGGATATTATTGCTTAACAATTATTCACCAAAGGCAAAGTGATTATCGGTGAAATATTTACCGAGTCACGAGTCTTCAAGCGGCAAGGTAAATATCACCATAATYATTGGCGGGCCTGAGGGGAATMATTGTTTTAGTATAATTTTAGACTGGAATATCAGAGAAAAGATGAAATTCAGGATAAAAAAAAGTTTTACCTTACAATCACCGCTCCATCAGTGATTATCGTCTCAGAATCACCGGTCACTCGACCAATCACAATCCCTCAAAATGTTCTCTAGACACAGGTACCACTGAAGTGGTATAAAGRTGAAAAAAGATGAAAATTCTTGTTTCCATAGAATAACACATGCATGGTACCCTCAATCACATTGGACTCTCTCACATCAAACTTACTTTAAGTCCATGTTCGAAAGTAAAATGTCATTTCAAGATCTAAAATGTTCCAGAAATGTCAGCTTATACTACTTAAATTCTTTGCAGATCCTATAGTGGAGAGCTGAAGCTCATTGAAACAGCTTGTTATGAATCTACACCAAAGGTGAAAAAAGTCAAAAATTGCTTATCATTTAGGCTAGTTGAAATAAAGACATTTTCTAAATTATTTGCCCATGGCAAGTGGCTCTTGAATGGCTTCAGTTAGGCCTAGGGCAAACATCGAACTTTCCATGCACCGAACTTAATTACATCAAAGAATGCCGCCTCATTATCACCTGATATYCATCGTTTTTAATGAGTTCAGTGCATGGAAAGTTCAACATTATTTTGCCCTAGGCCTTAGAGGTACGTTGAAGTAACCTTTTCAAGTACTATGTTTACTTTATTTTGTCCAGCATCCAAATTCAACCTAAGCCATTCTGGTAATCGATGAKGCAAATACCCATGATGTGCGAACTAACATAACTCTTTTCAGGGAAGAATTTACTGAATTAATGAATGTGACGTGTAGCTGAAAATAAACTCCTAGCATTGATGAGACCACAACTTGGCTCAATCTTAATTGAATGGGATGCCTTTATAATGGGGATTTTATATAATTAAACTATTAAACTGGAATGATTCATGACTTGGTGTAGCAGTGGTTTTGAGTCCTGCAGGTCTCGGTGTTGTACATGTAAGAAGAGTTGTTTGTTGGGTCTCCTTTGCTTTGAGGGTTTTTCTCATGGTTCTCCGGTTTTCCTCCCTCCACAAAAATCAACTACTACATTCCAATTTGATCATKGAACAAAGGCCACAGGTTTGTTAGCCCATATTTAGTGCTACAAGGACCGTTTTGTAATATAACATTAATCATATTCTCACAGTSGTATTGTTGTAAGCAGAGTATCATTTCTTTTTCAGGTTGTGCTTGTATCAACAATTGTCAATCAGCCAGTGCTCAGGCCACATGTGTTCTGCAACTACACTCATCCCTTTGGTTCTTCACCAAGATTCTCCAGTGGATGTCAACATAAAATATGGGAAGCACTTAAAGCATCTTCTGCTGCTCCTGGGTTCTTTGAAGAATGCAAACTTGGCACAGATATTCATCAGGCATGTCAATATCCCATTAGTGTTAAATCAAACACACTAAAACCTCTTTGCTATCCCTACATTTGGTGTTTCTAAAGATTACCAGTCAGAGGAGGATAGTGAAGGGAGGGACCCAGATAAATAGACTTACTGACATAATCATAATTATTCCTAGGATGGAGGTCTTCTTACCAACAACCCCTGTTCAATAGCAATACATGAGTCGAGGTTATTATGGCCAACCACTCCTTTTCAGTGTGTTTTGTCACTTGGGACAGGATTGTATAAGGGTAGACTAGGGTCAAGTACTCCTCGGTTCAGCAGTCTCAGGGAAAAACTGCTCAAGGTTGTAGCCAGCGCTACAGACACAGAAGGTAGATAGATCAAATTAAATCTATTTAATGATTTTCTAATGAAGAATTGTTACTTTTGTTCCAAAGGTTTTGTCTGTTCAATTTGATTTGTCACCAAATCTCCAGCATTGCGTGAAGCTGTCCGCATGAAGCGAAGGCCTATCACAGACCCCATCACGTGAAAAGTGGCTTTTATTTTCATCATCATGATGGTATTCACACTCCTTTCTAGCAAAATATTTGTATCTGAACACTTCCAAATTTTCTGGTTTTCTGGACTTCTGTCTATCTTACATTCACTGCAAAATACCTTGCTGGAAACTGAACCAGAACATGTAAAAATAAGTCTGCAGCATATGCTCTGTAAAAATAAACATGGAAAATGCTCTAAGGTTTTGAAGTCACTCACTGAATTTGATCTCATTCCATTAATTTAGCTGTTGACACTGTGTTACGAGATCTCCTCCCCAAATCAACTTACTACCGCTGCAACCCAAGTTTATCAGAAGATGTCCCAATGGATRAGTGTCGCCCTGAGATGATAGAACAAGTACAGATTGATACCAAGACTTATCTGGAAAAGAACAGGTTGTTACTTGAAAMAGCAGCACAAGCACTGATGAAGCCAAAGACTCTTACTCAAAGGTTACAAGATAAGTGGTCCAAATATAACAGATGGTCCAGTTGATACAACTCCAACGTAATTGCCCACTTCTGAGATGTGCTTCACTTGTTACGCACAGGTTTCAAATCAAGGTTTTGTGCATAATGATCAGTGATTCATGACAGCTGGAGAAAAGAATTTGACTTATTTTAGCACAGTCTCATTCTGAAAACCTTCATGTGTGACAAGCAAAGCATATCTCAGAAGTGGACTATATGATGGGTGATTTTTTTGGGGAAAGGATCATGAGACTTGAAAATTTTAATGTCATTTTGGAAGAAAAATTTAACATATTCAGTTTGGAAGAAAAATTTKATTTAAGATCAAAATAATCTTCTACCATATTCTCTAATCACAATACAGTAACATTTCTTACTACAGGCTCTTGTTCAACTTATACAAGCAGTTTTTGGGTTACTGGTAATATTTGTAAGTTTGTAGAGATTGTAATCAGTGAAAACACATTTTAAACTTTTGGAGATAAACATCGTACTTTATTGCAATATTGGTCTACATTTTAGTAATTAAATTTTTTTGTTGAATATAAATTTAACCCAGTGATACATGCATTCCAACAAATGATTTAATAGGCTATTTTTCATATGACTGTGGCACACAGCACTCATGATACAGAATAGATGACATCTTTATGTCCATTCACAGTGTGCAGTCACCAATCATCTCCATCCTGMAAGTTTTTCACAGTCATATTAAAAAAGTCTAAAATATCAAAAAAATGAAAGCAGATTTTATGGAATRTCTGATGACAGCTCAGTCTATGATTTGTATTGGTATTCTGGGAGTAGATGCAAGGCTGGCAAAGTTTTCAGGATGTAATCGYGATGGTTGAATAATTTTTAGTAGCTTACTCTATTTTTACCTACAGTTTTAGTTACCTCTACTACTCCCATTTTCATAATAATATTATTACTGACACAAACAACTAGCTATAATTCAAGACATCTGGGTTTTTGGCTTTAAAAATTCCACCAGTCCGAGTTAGTTATAAAACCATAAACCCAGATRTCTTGGGCTGAGTTGGTCATGAAGTTATGTAAGCAGTCCCCTCATTAAGCAGAAAGCTCCCACAATTTTCTTCGCATACATTGACAGGTACCAGGCAAGAAGAARGTCCTGAATGGGTCGGCTTAACACAGGTTCCACTGTTACTTTAGTTTATCATGGGTTTATTGTCTGTACTCTGTTCTCTTCTAAATATCTAGGTGCATCAGCTACAGCTTGTATAAAAGACACAGTAAGTAGGGTAGGTTGTTACACATGCATACTTACTACAGCCTTGCTATAAMAATCTTATAACTTTACAATCCAGTAGGTTTATTACCRCWGYTTGCATTGMTAYGYGGCCACCCCAGACAAAAATCGYGACRTGCACTTTGCRATAGMCTGCTGTCAATCRAACACGTTGRCGTCATTTACACRYGTGTGTGATTCAAAAGGCRCCAAAGCTTGTCGATTGTTTACAAGTAATATRAGCCACACTCACYAGGCCTATCYGGGSCRATCCAAACATGTGTAAATGAYRTCAACGTGTTTGATTGAYGGCAGTCTATTGCAAAKKGCAYRTYRCRATTTTTGTCTGGGGTGGCCGYGTAGCAATGCAAACGGCAGTAAGATTAAGGTTTTAGTAATTTATATTAAATGACAGATCCCATTGAAGTTAGTGCCTTTTCATTGAATCCAGGATCCTGAGTATGTGGATAAATAGGTTAATGATGTCCAGGTAGAGGTTAATTGATGCCATGATGTATTCYTCTGGTGATGTCTTGTGCATTAACATGTGAGTATCAAAAACAATGAATGCCGAAAACAGCACGGCACCTGTCACAGCATATGCCATCTCCAGTACCTCACTTTGGAAGAAAAACTGTAGAATATGAAAAACACCAGTAAAGATCAAAATTCTTTTATGAAYACAAGAAYGCTTCCTCAACCATAAMATTTTAATAGAGATMCAAGCTTTCCGACTAATTAGTCCATCCTCAGGGAATAATGAGATGGCGGTTAAAGATTTTATTCACAAACAATCTATATGGAAAGCTTGGGTCTCTATTAAAGTTCTAGGTTAAGGAAGTGTTCTTGCATTTGTAAAAAAAATGATTCAGACCTTCAAAAGCATGTAAGATTTAAGATCAAAATTGTTTGAATGGCATATTCTGCAGTTATGTGTTAACTGCATTGCAGATTTATTTGTATTCAAGCATTTTATTTATATGAGCATTTTTTTACCATAATCAATAACACTGTGTGCTATTTACACTCCTTAAAATCCTGCTCTAGTTTGAGAAGAAATATTTTCTGTTGCTAAAAACATACCTGCATAAACCCTGCACAAATTAAGATCCATAGCACTGTGAATAATCTGAAAAAATATTGAAACAAATAAGTCAAATAATAGACAGCAGTCTGTCAAACTCTTCAATATTAWAATAATCTTTGAGTGCACTACTACAGCTAACTGTCAAACTGGAGACTGAACCCTAATGAAGGGAAAGAGTGAACAGAAACACTTTTTAATTGAAAGAGGTTATTACATGTTTAACAAATTCATAGACCAGCAACAGAGGCTTTGCCGTATCACGCGATGGCAGCCATGACAGGGGGTACAAGAGGACTCTTTCCCCAGAAATGTAATCTTTCTCATGTAAAACAGATACAATTGTTTGCGCCTCTGTCGCAGCTGTCATTATGTGATGGTGCCTTCTTCAGCTGCGATGCACACATAAATATGTGTAAGGTATAAAATTATATAGAGGGACACCAATATGYAACTTACCCTGCCCCCCATGAGCTGTAATCCCTCTTGCTTTGGAATGTGTACATAGTTAATGCAATGGTTGTGGCAGCTGTCATTCCAAATGCCTCCAAGACAATCATTTTGTCAAAGAAGGTAACTATCAAACATAAATAACATTGATCTTTATGAATAATGGTCTTGGCAARAARATGATACACACAAATATCTTYAACATATGACCATTCTATARTTACACTACCCAGCAATATGCTGAAAAACTTACTGCAATTCTTAATGTTCTGTATACTCATACATTTGGCAAGGAGTTGTTGTGAATTGTTTTTACAGCTATCAGTCAATAAGATTATAGGTACCAACTGATTATTTTTGATTAACGGCAGAAGAAAAAAACAACAAATTTTCACATACAGCTTGCAACTACTGAGTTTGGATAAAAAAACTACTCACATCCCACTGTTAGTACTAAGAAAACATTCCAAGAACATGTTCTCTTGGAAACAATACTTACCCAGTGTTCCAAGGGTRTATGCTTCAACAAGGGTCTAGACGGAAAAGAGACATATTTGAGTCTAGAAATATATTACAGTAACTTGCAATACCATTTTGGTGTTCATTCAGTTGTTGGCCAATAGTCCCCTTCACAGTTTCCTGYKCCATCTTGAAAGGTWGCTGTGCCTTTGCATYGAAGCGAGACGAACGGTGAGCTTGCAATGATARASAYGTGAATAATTGTCCAAGGTSTTAARAAAAGGTCTCTATCATTGCATGCATGCTCACCGTTYGTCTCGCTTCGATGCAAAGGCRCGGCTACCTTTCAAGATGACRCAGGGAACTGTGAAARKGGCCTATTATGACCATTSGWAATATTGAATATRTAATGCACATAATTATATGATATGATAAGTTAAAAAAATATGCTTAATATCCACTTACAAAGCCRAAGAGAAGGTACATATTCATTGGACTTTCTCGTCTTTTGAACATTAGRGCAATAAGGAATCCCATAGACAGTAGGAATGCAACAATCAAAATCTCTGGTCTTAAAGAAAAAAATCAACAACCAAGCAGTTAATTAGTGAAAGCACCTTGCATCTTAAAGACTGTTTGTTTGTTTTTTAATGGCTTTGCTGAGGTTGAAGTACATATGCAGCATAACGAGTTTAAAAGTGGAGCTGAACTTGGTCCAATAACTCCCCTCCCATCCACCCAAAGGGGAAGGGTGGTTATAGCTCTTCAAGTGACTTAATTGTTGAACAGTGTCCCCCCTGATCTCTCCTGGCAACGAAGACTTGTAACACTGATGTCAAAGTGATTGCATTCACCTTTGCTGGACAAAACTCTTGATCCCYGGTGTGTTCATGAACAAAGCAGATACCAATATGGTAAGACCAAGCTGGGTACTCAATATTCCATAGACTTTTCTTAGAAACCCTGATAAAAAAATWTTATTGTTAAAATTTTCTACAAATAAAACTTTTTACTGTACCTACAGTTTTGAAGTTCCTTGTCGTTTTTACTACTTCATAAAATAATAACTTAAATGTACACTATTTCTTAATCACAATACAATGAAATCTTCAAACATGAGATGTAGATATCAAATGAGAAGAGATAACTAGCTAAAAACTAGTGTGAGCTGCGTCKGTGTTTCTAATGAAACAGTAATGATAAAAGGGTAAATTATACACAGTGAAAAGATGAAAAAACTTACTGACGTTTTGGATGCTAGACCTTCGTCGGAGTAAAAGAACATCAAATGTATATCAATGGATATCAAATATCAAATAGTTTATTTAACAATAAATATACGTTGAAGGTGAAGTGAGTATTGTTTAAGCTATTGTACTTTCTCATTGTACTTTCAGCATGTAACAGCAACAGTGTCTTGTATAATATTGMAATTAGTACTAGCGTTTGCTTGCTCTCGTCATTGCCATCCTGCAGCTTACAGTAGGTCCCTACATACATGCAGCTTTTAGCCATAGCATAGCTAATGAAAGACGCATTGATTTACTTATTAAGCTATAGGTAACAAAACGAATAATTTTCATTGCAATTATTCATGAATATGCAGACACAATTATGTAGACTCAAAAGAAAAAAAAGCTAAATTAAATCTATTCTTACTCTTCTCCCAAAAATAACATCATTGGACTAAACAAATTCATAAATATTACTGTCACTGATATTTTGAAAATTCAATAATAATTTAAATCAAATAAAGAAAAATTACAAAATATTTAAGCCTATTATTTAGCTTTGATAACCTTATAAAGTTTATTTTATTACAACCAACACTATCATCAAGTCAAAAAAAAGTGAGATAAAACAAGCATATTTTCAAAACATAACAAAATTAATTCATTTATTCTACTGCTTTTAAACTTCCCCAACGAGTTAACAGCAGTATTACGTGTTAGTTTACGTGTTATGAAMATAAGGAAGGAAAACTAGTGAACTTTAGTTCAGAACTTCCGGTTTTTTACGAGAAAAATAGGCAAACTAAACTCACCAAGTCGAACACTGATGTTCGTTTGTGCGACTGTGACCGAATGGGTAAAATCATCCTCGTTGGAGGACATTTTTGAGCCGCCAAAACTCACAGGTTCCATCAAAATACTGACAGACGCCATTTTCGATTTCGTTRGCAAAAATGGAAGTAAAATTCATACGAACCTACTCGTACGCAATAGTTATCCAASAATAAAACAGCCAATTCTATTGGTTAATATTTAGAAATTCTAAACCAATCATGTTTATTGATAAAAATTACACCGACCCCGTTTACCAAATATGGAGAGTGTAAATGCCATCAACACCGTCATGACGTCAAACTCAATGGCGCCATTTTTGTTGTCTGCATTTTGAATCAATYCGTAGAATAATTCTGCCACATTTAAAAAATATATTTGCCTCGTATTTTCAATCATTAGTAATGGCTAATAACGAAGGAGTTATTCAAGCTTTACACGGTGAGTTTATGAGAGACGTATCCGGGTTTAAGAGGGTTTTACCGGAGCGATTTTAAGATGGTCTTCGCTTTCTTTTCCTGGCAGAGTTCGAGAACATGACAGATGCGGATAAAGTCCTTACGCAAGAATTAGAAGATTTATTTGTTCAGATTGCTCATACAGGGAGAACCCAGTAAGTTACCGATCCCACTAAATTTTTATTGTTTAATTTATTTCATCACTTTATCTAAATATTAGCTTTTTTCGCTCGGTCGTAGGTAGGTAGATTCAAATTCAAAGTCATAGTCAAAAAGGTTAAGGCCATTTTTCGTGACAATGATCAAACGTCTCTATCTCGTTTTTTATTCATGAATATATATATTACCGCTTTTGTTATTTGAAAACGCGTAACTTAAGTCGAATTAAAGTGCCTTTGGAAGGAAATTTCAACACTTTCCAAGATAATATTTTTGGTCAGCGGCTAAAGTGATCTTATCCTCGTGTTGTCATTGTGATAATCTTTTTGATACCGTGAAAAGATTATCACACGTAATGTGATATTTTCTTAGTCGAATTTCATTATCTAGAAATTATTACGTAACATGCACAAACATTGTGTTTTTCTTGGAAGATTATCTTCAAATACTGATTAATAATTAATTTGATTATAAGCTTGAATGACTGACTATCTACTAAAAAAAATAACTTTTTGTAGTAAAATAAGCCTTTTCCACAAAATTCTCTCTTGGTATCTTTTTTTTATTCTTTTCTGCCCTTCCTATGGCAAATGAAAAAAAGAAGAGAGGGAGAGTGACCTCTTAGACGGCCCCTTTTAGACTATACTGGTCAATATCATTGTTTGCACAGGTAGCCCACTAGTAGGAAAATATCATAGAAAGACAAAAAGAGATCCCATTAAGATACTGAAATCTATGGTATGCTGCTGTATACCATTAGATTGCCATTAGAATATTTTTWAAAATACTTTTAATTTTTTTGTTTGATCTCATTTCCACCTGTGCAAATATACCTCAGATTAGTAAATATATATTTTACTATAAATATACTTTTAAATTTTGTTCATTCTCCTCATGGAAATTAAGTGTTGAATAGTAAAAAAGAAAAATAGGGTAGATACTAATACTTATACTAATGCTAATTTTCATTTTACTTATCAAATCAGAATCCCTTGGGTATACCTGAAACCTGTATTTATGTTTAAGATGGATAAGGTAAGCCAGTCAGTCTCATGACTAACACTTATGAGTTTATACATAAGAATGAGCAAGTGCTGTATGAGTAGCGCTTAAAAATAACGGCCAGACTTTATTTGGACTTTATTTGGAGTCATGCTCTGTTGTACGGACCATACCACTAATTGTTTATGTGGTTAAAGCCTGATAAATAAATAAATAAATAAATGCCAGGTCAGAACTGGGAATTGTTCGGTTAAATCTTTATCTTGCTGTGATCATGACCAACAACTAATTGGCCAGTACCTTAAGCAGTGGTGAAGAGTGAAGAGAAGCCATGTCCTAGCATGCCATACTATGTAGGGCTGGTTAGTTACCGGTCATGATCAACAGACAAATTAGCTTAAGCTTTGCCTCACCTTGTTTCTGGTACAAAGTTACTGGTAAAAAAGATTAGCAAAGCAAAGGTTTGACTGGACAAGTTTCAATTTGGGCCAGACATTGGCTGATGATGTTATGATGATATCCTGCTATGTCTACTAAACTTAGTTGCTACACCAAATTGCAGACTAATGATTGTTAAAATAATATTCCAGGTAATGAGAGATTTCTTTGAGAGTAGCCCTTCAAGAAACAGTAATTCAACAGAGCCCACGAAYAATGCAGAATTTGATGTTATGAGACAGAGACTTTTGGACTGTATTGAATCATTTACAAGGTATGCGCTTTAAGGTGGCTCGACCCCCTCACGCTTGACCGCTACCTTCCACTTTTGGAACGCTAGTGCATAAACGT